CCAGACGGTGGCCACAGAGCTTTAAACCAAGTGCGGGACCCTACTGTGCCCTACTGTGCCCGGAGCCCCCGTGGGACTGTCTGGGTCGCACCGCCGTGAAGCCAGCACCGCCTCTAACCCTCTCACCGCCCCCAGATCCTCATGCCAGGATTAAGCCTGCTCGGGATCCCCGTGGCCCCCATGCTGTCTCCGCTGTGTCTCATTCTTGCTTGTTTCCTTGCCTGTTTTCCACCCCCCAGAATATGCTTTTCCCAAGGGCCCAACTGCCATGCTTTCCCCCCGATTGCCTAGCACAGCGCCTGGGACAGAGGAAGGCAGCTATATTTGCTAAATTAATTGTAACAGAGAAAAAGTCCACTTCAACAATGATGGCTCTCCATTTTATACCCACTAGGATGGCTATAATCAAAAATAAATAAAACCAGAAAATAACAAGTGTGGGTGAGGATGTGGAGAAATAAGAACCCTCATACTCTGCTGGTGGGAACGTAAGATGGTGCAGTTGCTGTGGAAGATAGTTTGATAGTTCCTCAAAATGTTAAATACAGAGTGATCATATGACCCAGCAATTCTGCTCCTAGGTATAAACCCCAGAGAATCGAAAACATGTCCACACAAAAGCATGAATATTCATAGCAGCATTATCCGCAACAGCCAAAATGTGTCAACAACCCAAGTGTCCATCAATGGGTGAATGAATGAACAGAATGGGGTCCATCCATACAATGGAATAGTACCCAGACATAAAAAGGAATGAAGCACTGACACAGGCTACAACGTGGATGAACCTTGAAAACATGATGCTAAGTGAAAGAAGCCAGACTCAAAAGGCCACATAGTCTATGATTCCATTTATACGAAATGTCCAGAACAGGCAAATTTATAGAGACGGAAAGTAGACTGGTGGTTGCCAGGGGCTAGGGGAGGGGGGAGTGGAGGGTGACTGTTAATGGGGACAGGGTTTTGGGAGGGGGTGACAAAATGTCCTGGAACGAGATAATGGTGACAGTTGTACCACCTGTGAATGTACTAAATGTCGTTAGTGGTAAATGTTATGTATATTTTATCACAGTAAAAACAATTTTAAAAAACCTGTCTTTAAATGCAATGTGGTACCCTGAATTGGATCTTGGAACAGAAAAAGGACATAGTGGCAAAACTGGTGAAATCCAAGAAAAGCTTGGCATTTCATTGCCAGTGCTGTGCCAGTGTAGGTTTCTTAGTCGTGACAAATGTATCACGAACACGTGAGATGTTAACATAAGAGAAGCTGGGTGAGGGTATATAGCAACGCCCTCTACCATCATCGCAACTTTTCTGTAAATCTAAAATGATTCCAAAATGAAACGTGTATTTTCAAAAATCATATATGCCTTCTAAAAAGGGTCTTGCTTGGTCTCCAGAAGGTTCTTTTGTCTGCCTAGGGCCCACTGTGTCTGCCTAGGGCCCACTTTGCAATTTAGGGAGCTGGAGCTGACTCTTTGGCATGGGAGAGGGAGAAGAATCTGGAGCTCCCAGCTGGGAGGGGAGGGATGAGGCGAAGAGCGGGGCAGGTGGGAGGGGTGAGGGAGGCACCTGGGCTGGAATTGGGTTGGGCTGGGGGTTCCCCCATGGCGAGTGGAACCGCTTTGCTGGGGAAACTCCAAGGACTTTGGAGAACAGGAATGTCCAACACAGAGGCTGCAGATGGACGTTCCACAGGCGGAAGACTAGAGATGTGTTATATTTACCCTTACTTTTGTGAAAATAATTGAGCCAATCTATAAAAAGCAGTCAATCTCACATTAAAATCGGAAATTTCCAACCTCTCTGGAAACATCTGAAGATCTGCTAACTCAAGGCCACCTTCCTGCATGACCCCAGAGGGCTGGAGCCGAGTCCCAGGCAACCCCTTGAAGCGGGCGTGAGCTCTCCCATTTGCCACGGTCCCCACCAGCCCGTTGTCACCAGCTCCTGACACCGAGCCTCGGTTACCATTTATCCTCAAGTTTGCGCCATATTCTACTTCTAACGGAACAGGTTTTCTCTGCACCATGTCAAACGTGGAAAAGAGAAACCAAGATATTGTCTGACTTTTCTTACACCTGGTTGGCTTCACTTGCCTATGATATCTACCTGGTTCCTAGAGGCGCTTTTTTTTGTTTTACATCTTTATTGGAGTATAATTGGTTTACCATGGTGTGTTAGTTTCTGCTTTATAACAAAGTGAATCAGTTATACATATACATATGTTCCCATATCTCTTCCCTCTGCGTCTCCCTCCCTCCCACCCTCCCTATCCCACCCCTCTAGGTGATCACCCTAGAGGCACTTATGTTCGAGAACTCAAGTCTAATGTTTGACCTGCAGCCTTTGCTGCCATGTCAACATACCTTCCCCAACCCATGCCCTTAAATCTTCACTCTCACGGGTGTTCTGTGGTTGGGGTCAAACACACACACTAATTCTTGGGTGTGAATCCTGGTTCTACCCCTTACTAGCTGGGTGGTCTTGGCCAAGTCACTTAACTGCTCTGTGCCTCAGTTTCTCCAGCTGTAAAGTGGGCATGACAATTGTACCTACCTTTCAGGGGTTTTATGAGGATTAGGTGACGTAGCCCATGCAAAGCATGTAGACCTGTGCCTGGAACAGAACAAAAGAGGCAGAGAAAATTTCAGGGGGTGACAAGTGCTGTGATTAACAGATCAGGGTGACTAGGGGAAACCCCACATTCAGTACTTGTTGCAGAGGAGGGGACATGTGAGCTGAAAGAGGAATGAGAAGGAACCAGCTGGGAACTGAGGGGAAGGAACAGTGTGTCAGGCAGAAGGAACAGTCAGTGTAAAGTTTCAGAGGCAAGAATGAGCTTGGCCTGCTCAGGGACCAGAAGGAAGAAGGGCAGTGTGGCTGGAGCAGAGCAACTGAGGGTCAAATTTAAGGCTGAAAGGCAGGCAGAGGCCTTGCAGCCACGGGACGCCGGGGGAGGGTTCTCAGCAGCCAGAGGCCAGAATCTGACGACGAAGGGCCGAGTGCACCTGGCAGCCGCAGGCCGGTCCAGCCCGGAGCCTCTACTTCCAGTTCCACGATCCCCATCGCAACCAGCCTGACCCAAGCCTGGCTGTCCTTGCCCTCCGAGCATCGAATCCCCCCACCCCCAAAACAAACAGGAAGTATTGAGGCGGCCCTGGGCCAGGTCAGTGGCCCCCGGGTAGTGGCAGAGCAAGGGATGCAAAGCCACTCGGATGAAAGGCTGCAGGGTCCCCCTGCAAGAGAGATCCACGTCAAATCCCTGGAACCTGTGAGTGTGACCTTACTTGGAAAAAGGGTCTTTGCAGATATGATTCAGAATCTCAAGATGAGATCATTCTGGATTAGCCACATGGGCTCAAAATCCAATGACAAATGTCCTTATAAGAGAAAGGCAGAGGGAGATTTAAGATGCACAGGGAAGAAGCCCATGTGAAGACGGAGGCAGAGACGGGAGGGATGCGGCCACAAGCAAGAAATACCTGGAGCCACCAGAAGCTGGAAGAGGCCAGGAAGGAACCTCCCCTAGAGCCTTCGGAGGGAGCGCGGCCCTGCCGACACCTCGATGTCAGACTTCCTGCCTCCGGAACTGGGAGAGGATACGTTTCTGTTGTTTTGAGGCACCCAGTTTGTGGTCGTTTGTTCTAGCGGCCGCAGGAAACCAATACTCCTCCTCCAAGCCCCCGCCCCGGGCAGGAGGTTCAATCTCTCCTTCCATCCTTGTAGCACATCCCCCTTTCCAGGTGAAAACACTGAGGCCCAGAGAGGGGACGATAAACGGGGAAGCCCCTTACAGCTGTCTCAACTTTCCTCCTGCCTGAATTGAACTCACCTATGTATCTTGTTGGGTTTTTCACAGCATTTTAAAATTTGTATTTATTTTTATTACGGAATGGTAAGCACAGGGAGTCCAGATAACAACGCCCCGCAACTTTTTCGTTCCCTACTCTTGGGGGCTTAGCTATGGGGTCTTGGCGGTGTGGCACAGGGATAATTAACCTCTCTGAGCTTCGGATTCCTCAACTTTAAAATGCGGGAGAGGGACTTCCCTGGTGGTCCAGTGGTTAGGACTCCGTGCTTCCACTGCAGGGGGTACGGGTTCGATGCCCGGTCGGGGAACAAAGGTCCTGCATGCCACACGACACAGCCTAAATAAATAAATAACAATTTTCAAATGGGGAGAGAACCGGTTGTTGTGAGGATTAAATGAGAATGGATGATAAGCACCTGGTGTCTCTCCGATTCCACCTGAAACCCCAGCCTGGGCCCGAGCAGGTTCTTGCTGTGGGACCCAGTTCTCAGTTTCATGATGGCTTCTTCAGGTGGGGAGCCAGAGGGTCCTGGATAAATGAGATGCTCCAGGCAGGCCCAAGCCCCTGAGGGCAAGCAGGGGACCCAGCTGGCAACAGTCTGGGTCTCAGGCCTTGGTTTAACTGGCAGGAAAACGGGTACACGGCAGACGTGGAGCTGGTATATGCAGTGTGACTGTACCAGTAGTTAAAATATTGAAATACTTCTCTACTAGTTGGTAAAAGCCACTGCCCAGCCCCCCTCCCGGGACCCCAGACTCCCACACAATCCAGCAAGTAAGAAGCACCACCAGGAGGTCTTCCTGTGCCCGTCCTAAGCCTCTCTTCTGATTGAGCTGTTCTGCTGCGTAATATTTCTTGGCGCCATGGGCTGGTGGGCGTGGGGCGCCCTGTCCCTGATGGAAAAAAACAGGTGGCATTTGCTGGGTCTCGGCTTTCCCGGGAGGTACAGAAGCCCCAGGGATTTAGAGGAGACAGGTCTCTGTTATCCCGCACAAGCCCCATGGAGGCAGACAGACAGACATGGATGTCTGCGCTGGGGTCCTGGGGACGTGAAGGGGCTCCTGGACACTGGGCGGAGGCCCTAGACCACTCAAAGTCTCCCCACAACTACACCAGGCAGGGCCGGGGGAGAGTTAGTGCATGGAGAAACCTAACCAGGTGATGAGGCAGACGGCCCAGGAAGAGGTCAGAAGTCAGGGGTCAGAGGTAGTATACTTTATTAACCGGGTTCTCCCAACATCTTGCAACCCCGCTACAAAGCCAGACCTGGGCTTTGCCAGTGTCCCGTCCACTGGACAGGGAAGAGAACGCGACTCCCAAACGTCCAAAGGGCCTCAGAAGAGCAGAGCGGCAGGGTGGATGGGGGAAGGGGCCGCCAGCCATGGGAGGGGCAGGGGGAGGGGCTAGCGCTGGGCGCTGGGCCAGGGACACCCTGAGGCTCCGCCAGGCCTGGCCAGCCCCTCACTCTCCCACTTAAGGTCCGTAGTGGTTCACAGTGAGACTGGCTTAGATTTGGGAGGGCAGAAGGGGTGAGGGCAGGCAGGTGCCTTCCACTCCCCACCCACCCTTGGCCTGACTCACAGAGCTGGGAAGAGGGAGAGACAGGAAGTCCCCTCCCCGTGTTCCCTCCCCCGCACCCCGGGACAGGGAAGCCCCTTCTCTCCAGGGGCAGAGGGTAGAGGCCTAGTTCTCCCTGACATCCCCCAGGTTCCTAGGAAGGGTCATTCACTCCTGGCTCAGAAGTCTCTAGAACTTGCCCATCATTGCTCCCAATTAGAAAAATGTTTTTGAAATCTAGGAGATTGGGGCCCATCAGAACCAAGCAGTAAAAAACCTGGTTAAGATCTTGGTTTAAAAAGGTAGCTCTACCTTCACTTAGAAACCTTGGGAGACCAGCTGGAGAGACCAGTGGTGTCTCCACTGCCCAGACTGGAGGGGGTCGTTCATGGCAGCAGGGGGCTGGTGGTGGCCCGGGGAACAGGGTGGGAACCGGGGGCGAGACGCAGGAAGCGGGGACACGTGGGACAGGGCAGCTGGCCCTCCAGTGCCGTGGACCTGGGCTCGGAGGGCAGCGGGGGCAGCTGGCGGGCCCCCGTGGGCACATCTGCCAGGTGGGCACTGGAGCCTCTGCCCCACCAGGAGAGGCAGGGCCCACGGTCAGGCCTTGTGACCGCCGTTGCCCGGCGGCTCCCTGTGGCCGGCTGTGCAGTCCGAGGCGGGCTCGAGCCCCAGCATCTGCCGCTGCACCAGCCTGGCGTAGAGGCCGCCCTGGGCCAGCAGCTGCTGGTGTGTGCCCTGCTGCACCACGCGGCCCTTGTCCAGCACCACGATGAGGTGCGCCCGCTCCACCGTGCTCAGCCGGTGTGCGATGATGAGCACCGTGTGCTTCTGCAGGTTGCCGTGGATGGCCTGCTGGATCTGTGGAAACAGGAGGGCGCCGGCTCACACGGGCGTCTCCGCCGCCACCCACGGCCCCGCCCGGTCCCGGCTGGGATCCCAGATCCACCGCGTCCTGTGGATGCTCAGCCTCTCTGAGGCTTCCTTACTTGTAAAGCAAGGGCTGGCACAGGACCTGCTTCCTGGCTTTTGTCCACGGGGGACGGAGCTCAGAGCCTGACACAGGGCAGCGCCCGGCGGATGACAGGGGGGCCCCCGAGCATGGTCGTCTTCTCGTCTTCCTGCTCCTTCCCCTAACCTTGGCCTTGGTTAACGGTCTCACCGTCAGCCCCGAAGCTCACGCCGACAAAACCAGGCATCACCTGGTTCCTCATCCTTCCCTTATCACCGGAATCCGACCCATCAGCAGGTCCTGCAGCTCCATCTCCCCGCTGTGTCTCTGTGCCATCTTTCCACCTCTGCCACCATTCCTTCTGACCTGCCCTGCTCCCATCCATTCCCCGCGTGGATTTAACATTTTTAATCAGTTCTTGTTGAACTCATGCCCCAAGCCCTCCAAGAGCTTCTTGTCCCATTTAGGATAAAATCCAAACTCCTGGGGGAGTTTTAGGGCCGTGAAACTATTCTGCATAACACGACATTCTGCATTTGTCAAAACCCGTAGAATGCGCAACACAAACAGTGACCCCCTAATATGAACTGTGGTCTTGAGTTAGAAATAATGCATTAATGCCAGCTTGTCAACTGGAACCAAGGTACCGCTAATGCAAGATGTTAATAACAGGCGACATTGTTCGTGGTGCGGGGAGGGGGATATACGGGAACTCTCTGTACTTTCTGCTTAATTTTCTTTAAACCTAAACCTGCTCTAAAAAAATAAAATAAAAATCTATTAATGGAAAACAATCCAAACTCCTTTCCAGGGCCTGAGGAGCTTGTGTCCCCCTATGACTCTGTCCTTGCCTCACCCCACCGCCAGCCACGCTGACCGTGGGGCTTGGCTGTGGACCTACTCTAGGACTTTGCCCCCACTGCCCCCTCTCCCTGGGACTCTCTTACCCAGCCCCCCTCTGGCTGTCTCCTTTCCTTTCTGGTCTCAGCTCAAGTGGGACCTGATGACCCTGGTTCTGTTGGCATGAACTGCAGGATTCTTGGCACGTGTGACCCCATCCAAACTCTGCACTAAGATGGCCACACTCAAGGCCTTGTTGCTAGGATGACCTCAGCCCCTAAATGCCCAGTGCTGCCAGGAGAATTGACTTCTAGACATCACCTGATGGTGGGCCCCAGAGCTCCCTTTCTTAGAGCATTTACCAAAAAGGGCTTATAATTGTAAAACCTTCCCCTGTCCCCTGGAGATATACATGCAGATCTCCTAAAACTCAGGAATGTTTTTCTCCGGGACCTGAATGCCATCTCATTGTAATCACGGGAAGGAAAGGGCCCCTGTCTCCCAGTCTCGGTAGAGGACAACCACTGCTGGCCAGCAGCCATGGGGACAGATCACACTTCACTGCCCAGCCCTTTGTGAGTTTCTCCTGGTCCCCCACTCTTGCGCCCTCCCTACACCCTCAATCTCTCTGTGAAAGGCTCCGTCACCACTGTCACCCCTGCACAGGAATGGGGCTCAGTTCTTTTCCCTACGGACAGTAGCTACTAATAAAATCTGTTTTCCCAGCTTTAACTAATGTCCAGCAGTGTTTCTCTTTGACAGTAGTGACCCTTCCCTCAATCTCTCTATCACATGACTGTTTCTTCTTCTTCTTTTGTTTTTTTTTTTTTGGCCACACTGTGCGGCATCTGGGATCTTAGTTCCCCAACCAGGGATCGAACCTGCGTCCCCAGCCCTGGAAGTGCAGAGTCTTAACTGCTGGGCCGCCAGGGAAGTCCCCACATGACTGTTCCATTTTCTACATAGCACAGGCCCCAGGGTGAACTCATGCTTATCTCCTTGTTATCTGTCTCCCACTCTGGACTGGAAACACCTTGGGGGCAGGGGCCAATGTAACCCCTGGTGCCTAGGACAGCGCCTGGTGCCCGGGAGGCGCACATTAAATACCTGTGTAGTAAATGATTCATGGAGGGACTGAGGTAGCTGGTCCTCTTCAGATACACTATGGGGCCCTTCTTTCTTTACCAATGAAATGAGACTCAGGGGGTAAGAGACACGAGCAAGCCATGAGCTGCAGAGCGGAGCTCCTGTCCACGTCCCACACCTCCTGACCCCTAACCTAATTCCATATAATTTCAACGCCTCGAGCCAGAGGCTGGGCCAGGGTGGCCAGGCCCTGGGCCTCCTCTGCCCCCGCTCCCTGCCCCCAGCTCCGGGACAGCCCAGTCCAGGAAGCTGCTGGCCTGGGAGGGCCCCTGCAGCCGTCTGCTGGCGGGGGGAGGGCTCTGGCCGCCTGGAGCTGCTACTGCCCCAGCATCGCCCGTTACCCAGCGACTCACCAGGAACTCGCTCTCTGCATCCAGGGCGCTGGTGGCTTCATCCAGGATGAGCACGGGTGGGTTCCGCACCAGAGCCCGGGCCATGGCCACCCGCTGCTTCTGGCCGCCCGACAGCTGGGCACCCTTCTCCCCCGTCTCTGCATGGCAGAGACACAGGGGCAAGTGAGCGGGAGGTGAGGCCGGTGGCCCTGGGGAGCAGCGAGCAACCCCCGCCTCCGCCTTTCCCTGCTGCCACAGGAGCTCTGCTCCCCAGGAAAAGGTGGGGCTACAAGGGCCACAGGCTAGAAACCTCATGAAAGGATGCTCTTCCTCCCTGTTCGTAAGAGGCATGCAAGTTACAACTATGTGCAATTGGTACCAAGATACCAACTTTTACCTATTAATCTGGCAAAAATCCACACGTTTGATAGCACACTGTGCTGGTGTGGCCGAGGGGAAAGGGCACTCCCTCCTCTCCCTGAGGTACTGCTGGCGCGGGCCCTGTGCTGCCGTGCACACACCGCTGTGTCTATCCGGTTGTGCTGTACAAGTCTACAGAGCACAATTACAGAGGCACAACCCTTGGACCAGCAAACCCATCTCTGTGAATATTTCCTACAGATTCACCTTCTCATGCACAGTGACTCACAGCACTGTTATTGCCAAAAAAAAAAAAAAAACAAAGAAACAAACTACCAAATGTCCATCAACAGGAAACAGGAAATCAGTTATTTTTGAGTAAATAATTATAAAGTCACACAACAGAATACTATGCAGTAGTTAAAAAAAGAGCAGCTTTCTAGGTATCTATACGGACAGGTCACTTAAAAAAGCCGGGGGGCAGAATAGAATGTGCTGGGTTTTTCTCTGTAAAAGGGCGGGAGGGAATAAAAATACATATTCATACTTGCATAAAGAAACTCCAAAACTCCAAAACTCCAAAATGTAAGAAAATAATGAAAGATGTTTGGGTGGGGGCAGGGGGGCCCTGGCAGTGAAGACCAGGATGAAATAAAACTTCGCATTGGATATCGTTATGTCTATTTTTTTAGTTTTGAATTGTACGAACAGTCCCATTGCGAGAGTTAAAATTTTTAAATATGTTAAATAAAATCTATAAGGTAATATATTGTTCAACTTATTAAATTAAAATATTTACTAATATAAAATTAAGTCACTATAATTAATGAATATAATACATATATTATTTTTAAATAATAATATTTCAGGGACTTCCCTGGTGGCGCAGTGGTTAAGAATCCACCTGCCAATGCAGGGGACATGGGTTCAAGCCCTGGTCTGGGAAGATGCCACGTGCCGCGGAGCAACTAAGCCTGTGCGCCACAACTACTGAGCCCGTGTTCCACAACTACTGAGCCTGCGCTCTAGAGCCCATGCTCTGCAACAAGAGAAGCCACTGCAATGAGAAGCCCCCGCTCGCCACACTAGAGAAAGCCTGTGCGCAGCAACGAAAACCCAATGTGGCCAAAAAATTTTAAACTAAATAAATTAATTAATTTTAAAAAAGAAAAGAAAAAAGTGTCTTTTAAAAAAAATGACGTTTTGGAACTAAACAGAGGTGGTAGTTGTAAAGCACTGTGAATGTACTAAATGCTGCTGAATTGTTCACTTAAAATACAGTGGTTAAGTTTATGTTATGTGAGTTTCAGCTGACAGAGGGCAGTGCATAACTCAGGGTTGCATCCCTGAGGGTGGACCTCCAGGCACGGTGGAGGTGATGCTCTGGGCTCTGTACCTGTATTGTAGCCATCCTGGAGTTCCATGATGAAGCCATGGGCATTTGCCTTCTGTGCGGCCTCCACCACCACCTCGAAGGGCACGGCGGGCAGGCCGTAGGAGATGTTGTCTGTGATGGAGCGCGCGAACAGCACTGGCTCCTGGCTCACCAGGGAGATCTGCGGAGGAGGAAGGATAGGCTGTGAGAGGCCTGGAACACGTCTATCCAGCTGTCACCAGGAACCTCGCGAGCCCTGGGCCTGAGTGACGCCGGGAGCCTTGGGTCTGAAATCTGATCAGGGCCCGCGGCCAGCAGCTGCATTCAGCTGCCTCTCTTCTTTCCGAACAGCAGAGTCCACTTTCTGCACAAGCTCTCAGCCTCCCTGACCAACAAACTGGGGCCCCGCTAAGCTTGCCGCTCTGGGCCCAGTCAAGCTCCCTGACCTCCAAGACGGAGCTTACTGGCTGCCCCTGACCTGGAAAGAAAGAGAGAAAGAGCGTGGAGTGTAACTCTGTGAGTCAGCCTGTCCCTGGCAGGAGGCAAGGGGGCACAGCAGACCCAGGCCACAAGGACCTCCCTGGATGGTGCCCCCTCCCTGTAAGAGAACAACTGAAAGGAGCTATTGTCTCATGGTCTCACTTTTAGGAATTTGTATGTAGTTGGAGGATATCATTGCAACACTGTAAATAGCAAAAAAGGAAAAAGAAAAAAACAAAACAATCTAGTTCTCCATAAACAGAGGACTGGTTAAATGATTACAGTGCACCCATAAAATCAAACTGTAATATATATATCATATTTCTATTTTTGTTTAAAAAAAGCATATGTGCCTTTATATATAGGTATGTTTATATAAAGGTAGGAAACACGTTGGAAAGGATATTGACTAAACTGCCAATGCCAGTTCCCGACACGGAGTGGAGTTCAAAAGGTGAGGTGGAGTCACCTCAGGTCTTTGTTATGAAATTCTCTGAATATATGGGAATATGGTTAGGTTGTTGAGTTTTACTGCTCTGGGTTTATGAAAATTAAAAATTTAAATTTATAGAGAAGGTATTCACAAAAGAGGAAATCCAAATAACCAATAAACATATGAAAAGGGACTTAATATCTTTAGTCACCAGGAAAATGCAAAAGACCTCTACACTGAACTACCTCTAAATACCAACTGGTACAGATTCAGGACTGGCAATATTAACAGTCTGAGAAAATTAAGTGTCTGAGTGTGTTAACTATTGCAAAGCCTGAACAGCTCTTTCTAGGAGCCACTTCCAGAACTCTGGTGGGCAGCAGCCTGGTGGGGACAAACCTGGGACCACTTCTCCACCATCTGTCCCTGGTTATATACACATAGGTGGGAAGATTTCACAATCTGTGGCCTCCACCAGCATCTACAACTGGCCAGAAGTTCTGGAATCTCTGTGCCAACTCTCAGGCTCTCATATATCTTAATGTATGTAGACAACGTAAATAGTGTCTGCTTAATAGTCGGTGTTTCTTGTATAGTGTGCAGCCTGAACAACCGTCCAGGGCATCCCTGCTCTTATACCAGCAGAGGATCAGGTGTCGAGTCTACTTTTCTGAGAGTATTACTCAAAACTGTAAGGTCATGAATAGCCTCCTTTAAATACTGGAGATAACTTAAATGCGGAACAACCTGAACTCTCATCCACTGCTAGTGGGAATGTAATGTGTAAAAAAATAATAATAATAAAAAAAGTAAACCACCTTAATGGCAGTAACTACTAAAGGTGAGGCTCTGGGAGAACCTACCCACCCATGGGCACCGTGATATGGACTAAACTGTCCATATCGGTATTGCTGGTAATAGTAAAAAAACAGGAAACAACCGGAATATCCATCAAGAACAGAATGTATAAACGGACTGTGCCATGTTTACACAGTGGATTATCTTGCAGAAATGAAAATGAGTGAACTACAAACACAGCCTCAACCTGGAAACCTCACAAATAACACTGAGTGGAAGGAACAAGACACAAAGAATACACATGTTACGGTTCCAGCCACACGGAGTTTAAAACTAGCAAAACACAGCTGCGCTGTTCGGGGAGGCGTAGAGATGGGAACAAAAGAAAAGCATGGAAATGACGATCGTGAGCGTCAGGCAAGACGTTGCTTCTTGTGGGGAGAGTGCTGGAATGTTCCAGTTCTTGAAATGGTGATAATTCTTTGAAATGTACGTGTGTCTTGAGCCCTCTTTCCTGCACCTGTGTGCGTGCCCGTGGGAGAGAAGGTCAGACAAGGAAAGGGCGGAGGAGGGCAGCAAAGGCCCATGCACGTACCACTCGGTGCAAGTACTTGTGGTCATAGGCGCTGATGGGCTTCCCATCCAGCAGCACGCGACCCCCTTCCAGGGGGTAGAAGTTCTCCAGGATGTTGACGCAGGAGCTCTTGCCACTGCCCGACGGCCCCACGAGCGCTGTCACCTTTCCTGGGGACAGGCTGAAGGAGACATTCTGCAAGGAACACACAGACACGGTGTGGGGCCCCTGGCTCATATGCTCTGGCCTCAGACGCAGGTGGGCACCCTTCCTAGCCTGCCCCACCTCCGGCCCCCAGAATGCTCTCCTTTCTAGGATTGGGCAGCACTTTTATACTTGTCTCCTTTGCCTGGAATGTTCTTTCTGCAGAGAGCCATCGGCTGGCTCCTGCTCCTTGTTTAGGCCTCATATCAAATGTCACCTCCTCCGAGAAGCCCTCCTTGACTGCTAATACCATCTCTGCAGACTACCCCTGACTTATTGCCTTCCTAGCACTTCTCCAGGAATCCTTTTGTTAATATGATCTGTCTTCAGTGTTCCTGGCCTTTCAGGTTCCTGGCTGCACTGCCATGGCCTGGCCTGTAGGAGGTGCGCGGGAGATGGGATGAGGGAAAGGATGACTTCCGGGGGGTGGGGGGGGGGGGGCTTGGGTCTTCTCTCACCTGCAAGACTTGGGTGTGGGGCCGAGTGCGGTAGGTGAAGGTCACGTTCTCGAAGTCCACCCGGCCCTCCAGGTGGTCAGGGGCCAAGTTCCCATCATGCACCATGGTTGGCTGCCGGTCAATGAACTCAAACACCTTCTCCGCGGCGCCCACTCCTTGCATCAGGCCGCTGTAGACGGAGCCCACGGACTGCGGGGGGAGTAGACACACGTTCCTGACCCATCGACGCCCCGATCCTGGGACACCCCCGCCCCCGCCACGGTGCCAGAGAGCTGAAGGGAGTGAGGAGAGAGCAAGCACACAGCAGCAGTTCTGGGGGCGGGGTGCCCACGGGAGGCTGCTGGAGCCCCACCTGCTAGTACAGCAGATCATGACGACAATGAAAAAATGAGGACAGCAATAAGAAGTACTGGTGCCTTGTGTGTTAGAGCTAAGCCTCACCACCGTCCAGCAGAGTAGGCGTTATCACCCTCCAGAGGAGGAAACGGAAGCACAGAGAAGTTAAATGAACTAGGCAGAATGTGGCGGAACAGGAATCAGACCTTACTCTTGCAGCTGTCACAGAATTTTTAAATTTCAATTTTAAAAATGGCCCTTAATTTATACTATACATCTCCTTGGGTAAAAATATACACAAGTATAAGTGTGAATAATGACTCATTTTACTGAGTACTTATATCTGTTATGAGGTAGGTTCTATCATCATCTCCTTCCTGGTGATACGGAAACTGAGGCACAGAGAGCTCAAGTAACTTCCCCCAGGTCACACAGCCAGGAAGTGGCAGAGCCAGGATTCGAACCCAGGCACATCTGGCTCCCAAGTTCAGGCCCTTATGAGCTGTGACTGCGGGTCCTGGTTGATGAAATAGGGGTGATATTAGTACCATTGTCATGGTTCCGCGAAGACAGTGCTTAGCACATGGTAAACCCCCAACACACCACAGCTATGGCTATTATCATAATATCTGGATATAATTATTCCTATTGAGATACAAGTGCTTATACAAGTGTATAAGTTGTCCTTCTTGCTTCATCCCAGAGGTGGCCCCGGTTATCCGAGTACTGTGTCTTTCGAGTCCTTTCTCTGTGCTTTCACAAACACGTGCACATATGTAATTAAATCATTTTGAGATGCAAAAAAAAACCACAAATGGGATCAGACCATCCTTATGACTCGGGGATTAGCTTTTTCACTAAGAGCATGTCTTAGGGTTCTTTCCATGCCAGTGCCCACAGCTCTACCTGATTTTTGTGGCTGCTGCCTAGTTTTCATAGCACAGATGGACTGTTTCTAGAATACAGATGTACTGTATTCACCCAATCGCTGGTTGACAGGCATCTAACTTTTCACCATTATAAACAATGCCGCACCGAACATCCTGGGACACATGTCTTTGCCCACTAGTGTGGATGTTTCTGAAGCACGGATTCCGAGACGCTGATTCAGATGACACTGCATGGATGACTGTAGCTAACGCGAAGTACCATCTGCGGCAGATGCTAACCCACCCCTCCCCTGCCGCATCTTTGAGCTTTATCGTTGCAGGACACAGAGGCTCAATCTTAATGCCGGAGGGCTTTGTGGGGGGAGGGAGGCAGACCAGAGGAGCACCCCGAGCATCCTCCAGCAGTGACCGATGGCAGCTTCGGCACAAGCACGCCAGCTCCCTAGTCTCGGGACCTGCTGGTGGGGGCAGCCAAATTAAGACATAGTCTATTTAAAAAAAAAAACAACCCACTCTGTTCTTTTTCCATGGAGCTACTGTTCAAAGTGGGTTAAAATAAAGTCAGACCATCTGCCTCTGAACTCGGTTCCCTTACGAACGTGGTGGGCAAGTCGTTTAACCACTCTGAGCCTCAGCTTCTTTTTCTGGGAAATGGGGACTGGAGTAGCACTGACCGTGCCCAGTGGGCTCAGGAGAACCTTCTGAGATAATTGCTGTCGTTGCCACTTTGCTCCATAAATGGAGTTGCTGTCACTTGTATGTGTTACTCTCTTTATTAGTATTATTGGTATTGTCACATTCTTTAGAAAGAAATACCACCTCCCGTGAACCCTGGAGCACCCCCATTTAGATCCCTCTCCCTTCCCTCTCCCTTCTCCCCAGGGCCCCCCTCCCCCCGCCGGCCCCTCACCTCCATACAATCTCCCAGGACAAACTCGTAGATAATGAAGGAGATGAGATTGCCGCTGGTCATCTGCCCTGAGATGACGAGGTGGCCCCCGTAGTAGAGGATACTGACCTGGACCACCAGCAGAGTGAGCTGGAGGGAAGAGGGAAAGGGGGATCTGAGTCATGGGGGCCTTGGCTCAGACCTTCCCCACAGCCTCTCTGTCCCCTGCCCTGCAGGGGAGGTGAGAGCAGCTGTGGGCGCCTCACTCACAGCCACAGACTGAAACTCCAGCCTGCAGCAGGGATGGCCTCCCACAAGCTGGGGCCCTTCTGTCACTCATGCCCTCCCCGCCCTCGCCATGGAGTTTTTCCCTGCAAAGGCCCCCAGCTGGAACAGGCCATGAGCCTGGCTGGGAACAAGGCTTTCTTTGTAAGGCCCTGGCACACATACACAGCGCCCAAGCGCCTCAGCGAGGCCAAACTGGAGCTATTAGTCTTCTCCTTATTGGGAAGAGCATGGTTCAGAGAGGCTGAGTCCACTGGCTAAGGTCACACAGCAAGCCAGGCAAAGCAGACGAGGTCTGTGTTTCCATGAAGGAGGGGCTGTGTCCAGGGTGTGCTTGCCTCCAGCCCCCTCTGGTGTCTGGGGGAGTGGTCTGCGAGAGGAGTGGGACCTGCGTACCCATGACAACCCACTGGGTCCCTATTTGCCCCTCCCCATCCCAAGCCGGCGATGCTGGGTCAGAACTAGATCAATGGCTGGGCCACAGTGCCTTTGCACAATCGGCAAGAGGCGCCCCTGCTGGTGGGCAGACTGCCAAGAGGCTTGGCTAGGTGAGCTGGATTTCAGGCCCTTCTTCTCCCTGGCTGGGCACTTTTGAGGGGTGGCCCACCCTGGGGGGACCCAGAAGGTCCTTATTCCCTGCTTTCCCTGTAGACCACCCTCTCTTTCCTCCCCCTAAATTCCAAACCCTCCTCATTCCTACCCCAGCTGTTCCCCAACAGCCCACCCCCAGATGTGGCCAGCACACAGTGACAGGACCCAAGTGCTTCTTCTCCAGGAGGGGCTATAACTCACCCCCAGGGAGTGAGCTGGACACTCTAATGGGGGCATGTGTGTGGTTGTGACAAAGGACCTTTAGGGAAGCCGGCCGAGGATGGGTCCCAGCTGGCCTTGGGGTGACTCCCCACCTTGGCAGGGACGCTTCCCTAGCTGGGAAAAGAAAGCTCCTACCCTGCCACCCCACGCCCAGGTGAGAGGGAGAGAGGAGGTGCCCTGCTTGAGGACATGCACCGAGAGGCTGAATTCCTTTCCAGAAAGATTCTCTGAGGACAAGCAGAAAGTTGGGACAAAGTCAAGTGTCACATCAGCATGCCTGGACCTGGGCTAATGTCCTGATCTAGGGGTCCCCCATCTTTGTGTGAGACCTGCCCGGGCCAGGGCACGTACCCCGCTGCCCCAGACGTAGTACATGTAGGCCGCAGCCTCCTTCCTGTTCAGCTTGTAGACCTGCTGCAGCTTCCGTGAGTACACCTCCGCCTCTTCCTCCTCATTGGCAAAGCTCCGGACTGTCTTCATGGCGCTGATGGTCTCCTCAGCCGTGCTGCTGGCTCTGGCCAGGGCATTCTGGACCTCTTTGGAGAGCCTCTATGGGTGGGAGGCGCGACAAGAAGGAAGAGACCCCAAAACACACAGTCTCACCCTCTGCCTGAGCCCCCAGGCCTCTCTGGTGTTTTCTATCTTTAGCTGGTGCCAGCTCTGTGCAGGGAGTTCCAGGGACAAGGGGATAAGACCCAGCTCCCCTCCTCCCCCATTCCCTTCTAGCTTGATTTGCTGAACTCAGACTCCAGCTGGGCTCTTAGGGTGAGCTCCTGAGGCTCTAGCTCCTGAGGCATGGGGGCGCTGATCACGAAGTCATCTCCAGTATTCAGAGGAGGTTATGCGTGACCATACAGTTTGGGGTAATCCTCTGAGAAAAAGAAGTCTCAATACCTGATTCTGTGCTGGCATAAGAGCAGGGATGCCCTGGATGGTTGTTCAGGTTGTACACTACACAAGAAACACTAACTATTAAGGAGGCACCATTTACATCCAGCAACATATATTAAATTAGGTGAGAGCCTGAGGGTTGGCACAGAGATTCCAGAACTCCTAGCCAAGTTCTAGATGGTGGTGGAGGCCATGGGCTATGAAATCTGCCCTCATCGTGTGCTTATAACTGGAGACGGATGGCTGAGAAGTGGTTCCAAGTATGTGACCACCAGGCTGCTGTCCACAGAGTTCCAGAAGGCGCCCTGGGCCACGCTATTCAGGCTTTCAGTAACCACACTCAGAATTTCACACCAGCCAGGAAGGCTGCCCAGGAGGCTGAGACAGCCTCCTCCATAGGCATGTCCCATGACCTGCGAGTCATGCCCAGGCCATCGGAAGCATGCAGTACACTCAGGCATCCTGGGAGAAGCCAGCCTGTGCCTTGCGTCATGTCTGGCTGCGGGCGATGTGTGTGGCTTGTGGCGATGACTGTATCCTACACATTCGGGTACAGGTACGAGACCTAAACAGGGCTTCTTTGAGGTCCTGCCCGGTTGAACTTAAAGGTGGGGCCTGAGGTGTGTGCAGAGGTGGGGCTGGTGCAGGGAGCTCCAGGGTTTCCTGCCCCCTCTCAGGGGCGGGCAGGAAGGCAGGAAGGGCGGTGTGGAAGGGAAACAGCTCCAACTCCAACTCATATATTTACTTTTTCTACTCAGGGAGGAAAACAGTGAGGCCGGTGACCCAGAACTGCTGGGGAGAGGGCCCTCCTGGGTGGTGGGCTCTGCCGGAGGTGACACATTGGATTGTGGGGAATGGATCCATCTGGGGGCTGGCCTCAGGTCATGGGCACCAAGGGCTCCAACCAAACTGGGGACCCTGAGCTGATCACGTGTCCCAGCCCCTGCTCAGGAGTGTCCCTGCCCCCGTAGGCCTGGAGCACTGAGGAGGGGCTGCCTACACTGTCTGAACCCAGCCTGGCTCCGTTAGGGCTCAGGGGCACCCACCATCGCAGGAAGCAGGAGGAAGGTGAGGCAGGGGCCTAGCTTACAGGCTGACCTTCTGACAGAGGCAGTGCCAAGGGGCGGCCTGAGGGGACTGCTGCCTGCCCATCACTGCATCGTGGGCGAGGGCCTTGCTCCCGGGGGCCTGAGCCCTCCCCCCTGACATAAACGTATAGAAAGAGAGCAAACTTTGCACTCAGAGTGAAAACCAAACTTCCCGCAAAGGCCGACACCATCTGGCCCCCGTCACCTCCCTGCTCTCCCCTCACTCCTGGCTCTGGCCTCACCGGCCTCTCTGAGGCTCCACAAACATGTCAGGCACATTCCCACCTCAGGGCCTTTGCACTGGCTGTGCCCTCTGCTTGGAATGTGCTTCCCCGAGCCGTCCACCTCTTTACTCAAATGCCACCTTCTCGGAAAGATCTATTTAAAACTGGCAACCAGCCCCAATGCTCCCAATCTCTCTCTTCATTTTTCTCCTTAGCAGTTATGATCTTTTACTGTATTATATATTTTCATTATTAGCGTCGTTGTTATTTATTGTCTGTTTCTCTTATTAGAATATAAGCCTCCTGAAGGCAGGGGCCCTGTCTGTTTCATTGATATAAACCAGTGCCTGGGACACAGTAGGTGCTCAATAAATATTAATTGAATGAGTGAAATGAACCAGTGAATGAATGCAAATGCAGCCTTACGATGGGTCCTTCACTAGCCCCTGGTGGCCCCCTGAACCTGCCTAAGGGGTCACTCAGGAGCTGCCAGGGCTCAGACCCCAGCGGGGACCAGGCGGGGCCTACCTTGTAGTACTTGCCATAGATGTCAGACACCATCATGATGATGGGGAAGCCCATGAAGGTGACCAAGGAGAGCTGCCAGGAGAGGCTGAACATGAAGACCACCACGCCCGTGACCTTGACCGTGTTCCGCAGGAAGATGTTGATATTCTGGGAGACCAGGTCGCTGACCATGGTGGTGTCCGAGGTGAGGCGGGAGATGAGGTCCCCTGGAACACAGGCAGCTCAGCTCCCGCTGTGGCAATGGGGTCACTGTGGGCAGCGGCAGGGGACCCTCGGGGAGCTCAGACCTTCCCCACCTTCTGGGCGGGGTGGGGAGGGAAGGAGAGCGGATGCCCCTTGAGGGCTGCTCTGAGCCCAGACCTTGTCACCAGCATCTCGCTTCAGCGTCACACCTCCCAGAGCACAGAGGAGGCAGCTGAGGCTCAGGAAAGGGAAGAGGCCTGCTCAGCACCACACAGCGTGGCCGTGACTGAGCCAGAGCTGAGCCCACGTCTCCTCCCTGTCACTGGCAGAGGGGCCACTCCCCTCTTCCCTCACAGAAATAACAATCTGGGCTGTGGAGGAGAGAGGAACAGAAAGCCCTTTACTGACTGCTGGATACTGGGCTAAGAGTTCCACAGCAATCCCACAGGGCAGCTACCGTTATTGTTCCCATCTTACAGAGGCGCAAACAGAGGCTCAGAGAGGTGAAGTTAGTGACAGAGTTTGCTCCCAGGCTGGTCTGCCTCAGAGCCTGGATCTGGGCCGGATGCTGTAATGTCTTCCTTGCTCTGCCCTGGGCCGGATGCTGTAATGTCTTCCCTGCTCTGCCCTGCATGTCCGCCCTGCTCACTCCCATAGGAGCTGGGCCTCTCAGGCCACAGGCCTGGGTAGACCCTGCCCTTGTGCTTCCCACAAGCCAGTGGGAGGCGAGGCCTGGTTGCTGCAGGGACAGCGGGTGGCCTAGCGAGGGTCCTATAGTGGCCGCAGTTCACACCAAAACCTCAGCCGGCAGGCCAGCTCCCCAGGGCTCAGGCAGGGCCGGAGGCCCAAGCCAGCCTCCCGGGGTGTCCCCATCCTGAACTGGATGGCAGGAAAAGCCATCAGGACTGAGACCATGGACGTGCCCACTTAAATCCTCAATGCAAGGCAAGCCCACCTGGCCGGGCCCAGCCCCAGGTCACCCGAGGTCCCAGGAGGACCAACCTGTGCGATTCTCGTCAAAGAAGCTCGTCTCCTGAGATACCAGTGAGCGGAAGAGACGGTTCCGAAGGCGAATGTTCAGTCTGGCAAATATGAGGGTAAAAATGCCGCCCCGAACACCTGCGGCAAATGAGCTAATTGCAGATAAGAGATGTTACATATAGCACGACGTCCTTCCGACAACCAACCGCCACCCCCGCCACCCCCCGCTGGCAGGCGTGGGCCCCTGGCAGGGCAGAGACCGGGCGGCACCCCGACCTCGAGCCCACTCTCCGGAGCCAGCACCTCCACGGGGCTTCCCTGTTCCCAACAGGAGCTCCCAAGGTGAGGGCACAGAGGGGACTGCGTTTACTGTGGGTGAAGGGCCCAGCTCCACCAGCCAGACCCCTCTCCCTCCCAGAGGAGCACAGACAACGCTGGTCCTTGTTTCCCATTTGGAAAACCGCGGGGGCTGGGAGGGTGCCGGTGAAAGGGGAACCCCGAGGACTGAAGCCATCTGTAGGGACAAAAGGGCGCTGCTCTAGGGTAGCTCAACCAAAGGGACAGAACTAAGCCAGTTGGGTTGTTAGTTACCACGGGGACCAGCTGAGGCACAGGCTCCCCGGGGGCATTTCCTGGGCCTCCCTGGCCCCTTTTCCTCTGGGGAGCTGGCCCTGCCCTCCTTCCCCGCGGCAGGCCTGGGCGGGTGGGGGAGGGCAGGGGCTGCTACCTGCCGATGGCCAGCGCACACATGACGGTGACGGCCGTGCTGAACTGCTCCATGCTCTTCTGAATGACGATGCCATCAATGGCCCGGCCCGTGTAGTAAGGGAGGAAGGTCTCTCCTGCGGAGACAGGGCGGGCTCAGGGGGCATCGGCACCCAGGGGAGCCTCTGTCCTTCCTCCTGAGCCTCTGGAAGCCCCCATACCACCCACAGCGCTGACTCCACCGTGGGGTTTTCTCTCTCGGCAAACTCCTGCTTCTCAACGGGGCAGGGGGCAGGGGGCAGGGAAGGGGTCCCACACTGCTTAATGTCCTCTCTTTTCAGAGAACAGGAACACGGGAAATGTGAGTGACTTAATCTATACAGACTGGGTCATGCTATCGTGAATAATGGTGACCAGTCATCGAGCACACAGAGACAAGGGGCTCCCGTGTGACGGTTCACCCCCTCTGCACGTGGACCCTGAAGTCGGCTCTGTTATCACCCATTTTACAGATGAGCAAAGTGGAGCTGAAAAGGTGAGCTGACGATTGCTCCGCCACACAGCTGGTGGCTGACAGACGCCAAAGTTCACTTCTTCTCTTTGGCCGAGGGTTCAGAATCCAAATTCTAGACCCTCAGAGTATGTTGGTATTCTGGTTCTGAGCGATGCTGTAAATTGCCACCCCGCCCCCCTTGAGGGGTCACTTTACAGTTTGTCAGATAATTTCTTACCCATATGTCCTGCTATATCTTCACAACAATCCTGGGTGGACGTGGGGAGGGGGGCATTGGGCAGGGATGTCACCCCATTTCACATGGGAGTGGGAGACTCAGAGAGGCGGAGTAATTCGCCCAAGGTCCCACAGCAATTAAGAGGAAGGGCCAGGACTCAAACCCAAATGAGCTTCCTATCTGGGGGCTCGTTCCTTGTGCCTTCCCTCCCAATAACCCAGAGTAAGTTCCCGCTCCCATCTTATGGAAATGATGGACACGGAAAAGAAGGTGGTCAGACCAGGCTGTGTCCCGTTTTCACCGCAGCTCTTTCAGCAGCCATAGCCTGGCTCAGGGCTGGGCACACAGGAGTCACTCAATAAAGGTCAATGAATGAACCCTGGGCAGGTGGGGCAGGCCCTTCCCTGGTCAGCACTGCAGGACTGGCTCAACCAGGACAGTGGCGCTCTGGCGCCCTCTGCTGGTCTCAGCACAGGGACCACAGGGCGGCAGCCGAGAGGGCCTCTGTCTCCCCTGTGTCCTTGGCCAGATGGGGTCTCCAGGCACCCCTGTGAAGTTCTACCTCAGCTGAATCGCTGCCTCAGTTTACCTACAGGGGAGTAAAGGGCATCAGCGAGCTCTAGCAGCATTATGATTCCAGCAAGCACCAGTGATGATATTAACCACCATGGACCTTTATGGAGCCCTTGCTGGGTAGGTGCTATGCTAAGCAGGTATGCAAACTCTTTTGTCCAATCTGCCCAGGAACCAGGTGAAACTCTCTAGTCCATCAACAAATCCTGTGGCTCCACCTTCAAAATATTTCCAGAATTTTCTGCCTCTACTGCCCCACCCAGGTTTGTCAACCTCCTTTAGACTATCTCAGCAAACCCCTGGCTCCCCCTGCTGCCACCTTTATCCCCATCAGCCTGTTCTCCACTCAACCGACAGCAGGAGCCTGTGAAACCCAAGGCAGATCATCTCATCCAGCATCAAAGTCAAAGGCCTTACAGTGGCTGACGGCGCCCTGCACGACTGGGCCCTGCTACTGAGCTGCCTCACCTTCTTCTCTCCCCCCACTCCCTCTGCTCCAGCTGTGCTGGCCTCTCTGCTTTTCCTTTAACAATCAGGCACCTTCTTGCCTCAGGACCTTTGCACGGGCTGTTCCCTTTGCCTGGAGCACTGTTACCCCAGATAGCTGCTCCCTCATCTCTTTCAAGTCTCAAATGCTTCCCAATAACCCCATAGGTGGTCTATTATCATTCTTCCCATTTTACAGATGAGGAAACTGAGGCTCAGTCATTTGCCCAAGGTTATTGTAGTTAGGTTGCCAGGAAATCCATATCTCAACGGGAGATACTCAGCACAAAACTATTTTTTTTTTCACAATGGGTGGTTTTTCTTTTAGATTATAAGGTTTCAGAAAAAGCTGAACCCTACTGGATGCTGGCTGACTGAAAAATAATTGTTAATAATCACAGTACCTAACTTTTATGAAGAAGTACCTAGTTTTGCCAGGCACCGTGCTTCACCTCATTTAATTTTCACAATAACCTGAAGAAGCCCTCATTGCAGTATGAGAAGCTGAAGCTTGGCCACGTTAAGTAAACTTGATTAAAATTACTGATGAAGTCGGGGGGCCTGATTTCAAGTTGAAGCCCATAACCTTGACATAATCCTGCAGGCTGGTGCAATCTGCTCGGCTGTATTTTAGGACATCTGTATTCCCTAAGCGCACACCAGCTGACAACAGCACCCTGGGAGGCAGGGGAAACGAGGCCGTGGGGGCAACATCTGCCCACACAGGCAGGACGGTCATTCATTCATGCATTCATTCACTCAGTAAGTCTGATTCTGTGCCAGGTATCAAGGGCCTTGGATGAGTCAGACCTGGCCCCTGTCTGCGAGGGGCTCAAAGCCTGGAAGGGGAGAAAGGAGAGTGGACATGTGATTTTCATGTCACCGATGCTGTAATTAAGGGCCACGGTCGGCAGAATCTGAGTAGGCGTCTCAGGAGCAGACATTTGGGCCTTGAAGCATGAGTAGGAGAAACTATCTGGTTAAATGAAAAGGGGTCATCCCAACACTCACGGCCACTAAAGTTTACTGCGAGGTTTCTGTGTGCCATGAGCTGTCCGAGGCGTCTTGCTCGGATTGACTCACTGAACCTCACAACCCCGCAACTGCTGACGCCCATTTTACAGATGAGGAGATGAGACTTAGAGAGGTTAAGTAACTTGCCTAAAATCACACAGCGGTTAAGGGGCCGGGACTGAGAGGATGGAGGATGGATGGTACAAGGAAATGGGCTCTGGGGTTCGCCTGTCCTCTTTGAGATCACTCTGGCTTTGTGGCTACTCCCAGACTCTGTCCCTGGGAGTTAAACATGTAACGACTCATAGCAGCTAACATTCCTGTACTCATCATGCCATACCAAGCTCTGCACCTGTCCTTCTCCTCTCTGTCTTTTTTTTTTTTGCGGTACGCGGGTCTCTTACTGCTGTGGCCTCTCGCGTCGCGGAGCACGGGCTCTGGACGTGCAGGCTCAGCGGCCATGGCTCACGGGCCCAGCCGCTCCGTGGCATGTGGGATCTTCCCGGACCGGGGCACAAACCCGTGTCCCCTGCATTGGCAGGCGGACTCTCAACCACTGCACCACCAGGGAAGCTCCTCCTCTCTGTCTTTTTATTCAAACTTTACAACACCTTGGGATAAGGATGCTCCCAATCCCCATTTCACAGAAGGAGGAAATGAGTCTCTGAAAGGTTTGAGCACTTGCCCACGAACCCCCAGAACCCGTGGAGTTTCCACCCCGTGATGTCCCTTCCCACCCACGTTGCTGGAGTGTTGCTTTAAAACTGTTTGGACCAGATCCACAGTAACAGATACAATTTACATCACCAACCAGGACACACACACAGGCGCACACAGCTAAAATAAAAGTTTCACAAAACAATACTTAACCTTACCACAGACTACATACCCTGATGGCTCTATTCTATTCTGCTTCATTACAAAAAATGCTTTGAACCTATAAATGCCATTTCTAGGAACTTATCCTACAGATATATGCACATTTATATGAAACATGTATGAACAAGAGAAAAAGACTCAAAACAACCCAAGAGTCCAACAACGGGAGACCGACTAAATAATCTATGGTACAGCCACACAGTGCAGTATTACACAGCCAAATAAAAGAATGAGATACCGATTGGAAAAATTCCGGGATATATTGTTAAGTGAGAAAAGCAAGACACAGAATGGAGTGTAAGAGGTGGGGAGAGTGACATGTACTTATTTGCTTGTAGCCGCATAAGGAAACACTGGAAGCATATACAAGAAAGGAATAAAAGTGGTTTCCTGCCCACTTGGAAGCTTCCGGAACCTTCTTCTGGAGTTAGCCCTGGGCACCGGGATCAGGGCAGTCAGGAGTAGAATTAGGAGTGAAACTCTCAGTGTTTACCTTTGCATATCAATTTGATATCTGAACCACGTAAGTAAGATGTTAAAATGTGAGAGGAAAGAAGAGAGCCCTCACTTACCCAGTGCTGCCATGATGAGGAAGAAGGAGGCGGCCACGAGGAAGGCGATGTCGGGCTTGGTGTAGGACAGCAGCTTCTGCAGCGTGGCCCCGGAGGCCTGCTCGGGCGCGGGCTGGTCCTCCCCAGGGGGGCCCTCGGCCTCGGCCCCTGCCCCCCGCTCGAGGGCCTTGGCGTCCGGCTGCACCGTGGACAGCAGCCACCAGAGCAGGAAGGACGCAGCAAGTGAGATGTAGGTCCACACAAAGAGGGCCCAGAACCACGGGTCCCGGACCGGCTTGCGTACCTCGGAGAAGAGCAGCAGCTTCACCATGGTGTAGATGCCCGCGAAGAGGCACACAAGGGCGATGACCATCCAGGAGGCCCGCAGCCGCCGGGGCCCCAGGGTGCTGTTCTTGGCCACGCCGATGGTGGCCCCCAGCAGCAGGCAGCTGCGGTACAGGCAGGCCGCCCAGAGGTCCAGCACCGAGTCAAAGATGTTGAAGTGCCGGATGTCCTCCAGGAGGCTGCGGTCCAGGTGGCTGAGGACGTAGATGGCCGTGGTCATGCCGACGTCCAAGCTCATGAAGGCCAGGGTCACTACCACTGCCTTCCACAGCTGCATCCTGCTGGCGGGTGGTGGGCAGGCACCGAGGGGCAGGCTCTAGCTCATGGGGGCAAGGCCATTGTCTGTGGGGCGAGGCCAGACCTGTAGGGGCAACAGGGCAAGGGGTTCAGGTGTGCTACTTGCTGGCTGTGTGACCTTGGGCAAGTCACCTGACGTCTCTGAGCCTCAGATTCCTCATCTGTAAAATGGCAGTGACAAGAATACTGATTTCACAGAGGTATTGTGACGGCTCCACTCATTCAAGGAATATGTATTGAGCACCCTCTGTGGGCCAGACTCTGTTCTTTGCACTGGGGATTTAACAGTGAACAAAAATAACAAAGATCCCTGCTCTTGTGGAGATGAGACACTCATGTCAGAGACAGATAATAAACATAATAACTAAATGATACAGTATGTTAAGAGATAGGGCTGGGCTGTGAGGAACGAGGGGCCATGAGGGGCGGTGAGGGCAATTTTAAATAGTGGGCCAGGGCTTCCCTGGTGGTGCAGTGGTTAAGAATCCGCCTGCCAATGCAGGGGACATGAGTTCGAGCCCTGGTCCGGGAAGATCCCACATGCCGCGGAGCAACTAAGCCCATGTGCCACAACTACTGAGCCTGTGCTCTAGAGCCTGCGAGCCACAACTACTGAGCCCGCGTGCCTAGAGCCCATGCTCCGCAACAAGAGAAGCCACCGCAATGAGAAGCCCGCGCACTGCAACAAAGAGTAGCCCCCGCTCACTGCAACTGGAGACAGCCTGCGCGCAGCAACGAAGACCCAACACAGACAAAAACAAATAAACAAATAAATAAACAAATAGGGGGCCAGGGAAGACCTCGCTGTGAAGGTAAACCTTGAGTAAGACTGAAAGAGGTGAGGGAGTCTGCCACGTGGAGATCTGGGGGAAAAGCATTTTGGACAGGTGGAACAGACAACGCCAGAGCCTGAGGTAGGAACGTGTGGCTTGAGGGAGGCAAAGAGGCCCCATGAGGTCAGAGAGGTGAGGGTGCAGGGATGTGCAGGGCTCTGCAGATGAAACTGAAATCAGCAAAGGATATAATGAAGAGTCATTGCCTTATGACTACTACCGCTATTACTACTACAATCATTAATTTCTCTGAACCTGTTTCTTCTTTTGTAAAATGTTAGCAGGAGGTTTAATATGTGAACATCAGGTCTGGGCACAGTGCCGAGCCCGTAATAATTGCTACTGATTGTTACCACATATAGTGCACGTTTAATAAATGTTTGTCCACTTCCCTCCTCCCCACATCAGGCCTTCAGTCTCCCGAAATAAACCTGAACCCTCTTAGACCAAGAAGGGGTGTCTGCAGGCCTGTGAGCAACCCAGAGACTTTTGTATCTGCCTGGAAGTTTCCAGAATCTTTTCCTCCAGCCCAGGTTGCCCCTCGCCCTCAGCCCTAGCCCCTTGTGGTTTTCTGGAGCGCGATGTCTGCTTTGCCTAAGGTATGTCCCACGTTGGGTCCTTCAGGCCTGGACCAGGGCCTGGGAGACGCCAGGAGCTGCGGAGACACGGAGGGAGGTGGGCCTGGGGGCCTGAGTTTGGGAGTGGGGCTTCTCCAGGGCAGGACTGGGACCAGACTGGGTGTGCCCCTGAGTGCCACCTCATGACTTGGGTTCATCCCTCTCTCCCCTGGGGTCTTTGTTGTCCCATCTGCAAAATGGGCAAAGCTCTGGAGTCCCCAGCGGAGGGGAGAGGTGCAGAGCAACAGGAAGGGTGACTGTGAGTAGTGACTGGGAATGGGGGCCAGACTGAGAGACCCTCTCCCCCCACAGCTCCAGTGCTCAGACCAATGTCAGAAACCCCACACAACCCCATGAGGCTGCTGCTTCCACATTCCCATTTACAGCTGGAGAAACTGAGGCACACAGAGGCAAAAGCACATGGTCCATATCACTCAGCCAACCAAGGCCCCAGCCAGGACTCGAGCCAGTGTGTGAAGGGTCCCAGCACCTGGCTCACAATCTCGGTACCACATGCCTGACACACGGCAGGGGCCCAATTACTACAAGCAAACAGTTAGGCGGCACGGCCCTTCCTAGCAGCCCCGCCCTTTATGTGGGTCACGGGCTTTGTACGTGTCTGCTTATGTAATCCTCACAGCAACTTCACGAGATTTACACTATTATCATCCCCATTTAGCTGACGGAGAAACTGAGGCCCAGAGAAGCTAATAACTTGCCAAAGATCACACAGCTGGTGAGCAGCAGGGCCGGGATTTGAACGCAGAGCTGTCTGGTTCCAAAAGCTGGGCTCTAAACTGCTAAGCTAAAGTGCTTGTCAATATAGCAAGTCCTTACTCACAGCAGCCAAGACATGGAAGCAACCTAAATGTCCATCAACAGATGAATGGGTAAAGAAGACGTGGTACATATACACAATGGACTACTACTCAGCCATAAAAAAGAATGAAATAATGCCCTTTGCAGCAACGTGGATGGACTTAGAGATTATCATACTAAGTGAAGTGAGTCAGAAAGAGAAAGACAAATACCATATGATATCACTTATATGTGGAATCTAAAATACGACACAAATATTTATGAAACAGAAACAGACTCACAGACATAGAAAACAGACTTGTGGTTACCAAAGGGTGGGGAAGGGATAAATTAGGAGTTTGGGACTAGCAGATACAAACTACTGTATATAAAACAGATAAACAACAAGGTCCTACTGTATAGCACAGGGCACTATATCCAATATCCTGTAATAAACCATAATGGAAAAGAATATGAAAAAGAATATGTATATATATGGATAACTGAATCACTTTGCTGTACACCAGAAACTAACACATTGTAAATCAACTATACTTCAATTAAATAAATAAATAAATATATATATATATATATATATATATATATATACACACACACACATACATACATATAGCAAGTGCTAACAGAGAGTATTCACTGAAGGAGAATAGTCTATACCAGAGGGGGCTCAGGTAAGAAGCAGAACTGATGACACACAGTGACAACAATGACAAGGACAGCAGCAACAGTAACAAGAGCAGACACTTATTGATGTTATCGTGCACCTGGCACTGTTCTGAGTGATTTACATGCATTCATCCTCACAAGAATCCTATGAGGTATGTTCTATTATCATCCCCATTTTCTGGTGAGAAAATTGAGGCACAGAGAGGTTAAGTAACCTGCCTCAGGTCACACAGCTAGGAAGTGGCACACCTGGGATGTGAACCAAGGCCTTCGAGTTCCAAAATCTGTGCTCTCAACTCCAAAGGCATAATTCTTCAAAACAGCATCTCAGGGGTAGGCAAGACCTTTAATGATGCCCAGGAGGGTCTGAGATGCAGAGGGGACCCAGGGGCGTGACGGTCCCCAAGCCTGGGCCCTGCTGTCACCACAGCACTTCTAGGAAGACTCAAGTATGTTCTAGAGAAGACAGTTGCTTTGTCAGCAGCTGCCTCTCCAAGGGAAGCCAGGGCTGACTGGGACCAAGGGCAGGGGAGGGAGTGAAGGTGGGGACAGGGGGACAGACACCCCCTGCCCAGGCCCTTGTTCCACCCCCAGCCCTGGCTGGGCTGACAGTGCAGGCTTCTATCTGCTGCAATGCAGAGGCCTCGAGGAGCCAGCAAGTGGGTGAGTGTGAGTTGGAGCCCAGGGAGGGATGCTCTTGGCCGGGTGCCTCACCAGGCCTCCTGGCCAAGCTACTGCCGGCTGCCTGGGCCCCGTCAGCCACCTTGGCTGCAACTCACCTCTTGGTGGGTACAAGGAGTCCCTTAGCTGCCGGGAAGGAGCTGGGATTCAGAAGTGGGACAGGAGGCAGAAGCCCAGGGGCTTGGCCAGCCCTCCCCATCCCGACTCCCAGTCACTGGGTCAGTCCCTTCCCGACACCCTCTGCTTCGGGTAATGTCATTTGACAACCACCCACATGGGAGCCCCAGCTGTTTATCTTCTTCACTGGAATAAAAGAAAATTTTGCACTCCAGCATCACAGACTATTTGAACCACGTTTTACAGATGGGGAAACTAAGGCCCAGAGAGGGAGGGAGGGAGGCTTGTCTAAGGTCACCCCGTGAGCTGGGGACAGAACAGCAAGAGCACCGGGGTCCCCAGCTCCTAAGTGCTGAGTCCTTCTACTCCAGGCTCTGATGGAGCAGAATCCAACTTGGGTCAGGTTACAGCCCTCAGTGGGGACAGACTACTCTGTTATTTTTAAAGTTACTGAGCAGGAGAGTGAAGGGGACAAGACCACCAGCCAAGACTGGGAGGAGGGGAGGATGGGGGCCAGTGGGCTGGTTGGAGCCATGTCCCAGCACACCATCTGCCTGACCTGGAGGACGCAACTGAGCTTGGCCAGGTGGAGCAGGAGGGCAAATCGTGGGCACAAGGGTGACGTGTGTGCCCCAAGGGACAAGGACAAGGTGGTGGCCAGAGGTCAGAGCAGGCACTGCCCAGGGTCTGCTGTGCCCAGGAAGACAGGGTCAACTCGCCTTGACCCCAAGAGCTAAGGAATGGCACAGGATTAGCAAGTGACCACACCCCCACTGCAGGTCCTGTCAAAGGCTTTTCTTCCCAGTAGAAGAAATGGTGGTTGGGGCATCTCCAGCTGTCAGGTGCACAAAAGGAAAGTCTGGAACGGCCAGGAGATAACAAATAGCAATTATTATCATAACCACAGCAGCTACAGTTTATGGGGTGTTACTAAGTGCCTGACAATGTGCTAAGTGCCTGTCACCTCCCATCCCAGTTAATCCTCACCACTACTCTGGGACGTTCTCTCAGTTATCATTCCCATTTTACAGATAGGGAAACAGAGGCTTGGGGAAGTCAAATGACCTGAAGAGAATAGGCAAAGGCAGAGCTGAAACCCCACACTTCATTCTCTGGGCCCAGGCTATTCAGGGCTCCCAAGAAAGGGTCCTGAAGGGCCTGGGGGGCCCACGCAGCTCAGCTCTCCCCCAACTTTGGGGGTGAACTTTTCACCCCAAAGCAGTCATCACCCAGCTGACTGGGGCTGGTTCTGTGGGACAGTGTCATTGTGGGGTCTCTGGATGCAGGGCCAGGACTCAGCTGAGTCCACGTTATTCCATCCTGACTCCCACCCTTGCTAAGCCTGCACATCCCACACTGGCATCTGGGGAAGTTGTTTCAGATAACTCACCGCTCTAGGTGAGGCAAACTGGGGAGTCACTGTGGCCTTCCTGCCGTCCTCCTCTTGTCACCTGTCACCTGCCCACCTGAAGCAGGGGAATTGAGGGCAGCCTAACTCCAGGGTGGGGGGAGTCCTGTCAGACCAGCTTAAAGCTGTCTGAATTAACGTCATGTCTGGGGAGGGGGCACCCTGTTTTAACAAAGAACTAGAAATAAGGGAGAGGCCCTTGGGAAGCCTCAGGCCTAACTGCCGGGGTGGATGCAGAGAAGGGTCAGCCCATTGGCCAGCTGGGGGGACTGAGGGGAAGGGGTTTGCCAAGGTCGGCAGGTCCAGGCCTGCTCCCAGGTTTCTGACATAGCCAGCCTCTCAGGATCTGTGGGCAGGCAACGCTGTAGGGTGTGGGGAGCCCTCAGAAGAGGCGCCAGTCCGATCCTGGGGGGAGAACAGCCATCCCAGGATCCACGCCAAAAGGCACCCTCACCATTTTCCAAGAGGTGGCGGCACCTGAATGGTTAAAAAAAAAAAAGCAACATTCTCCCTGCGGCGTGGAAAGGATGCTGCAGGGATGGGGGGCTGGGACCTGCGGCTGCGGGTGCTAGGGTACCAGGAGGGGGGGCCAGGAAGTCTCCCACCTTCAACTGAGATGCCTACTCCATCCCCGAGGCAGGGAGAGCCAAATGTCCCTCCAGCCTGTGCCCGGTCTGGCACTTCGACTTGAGAAAGACCCGGGTCGGGGGTCCCGGGCCCCGCACTCTTACCTGTCAGCTTACCTGGCACCAGGTGAGCCGTGGGGAGGGGGCGCAGCGGGCTGGGGTCCTCAGGGGCGCGGGCTCCGCGCGGTTCATTGGAGACAGCGCCCGGCGCCCCGCTCGCTCCACCCCTCCCGCCTCTCCCTCCTCCCGCTGCTCCTCCGGGCCTCCCGCCCCCGGCTGCTGCGCAGCAGCAAGGTCGGAGCAGAGGGGGGCGGGCACACAGGCCAGCTGACGGGCAGGGCGGGGCCTCCTGGTGGACGGGGCCTTCGTGGGGGCGTGACCACAGCTAGCCACCGCCCACCTGCGACGAGCCCCGCCCTCATCCGCAGGACCAGGCCCTTCCGCTCGGTGCTCCATCCCTGGAGACCTCAGGCCCATTCTGAGCAGAAGAAAGTGACCACAGCTGCTGGGGCGCCTGCTCTTTAACCGTCCTTTTCCTCCGGAGGGCCTACCAGCCAGCCTCGGAGGATTGAGCTTAGGATCCTCATTCCTTCCTTCATTCAACCAATATTTGTTGAAAGGCACCTGCTATGTGCCGTGCACCATTCTAAGCGTTTGCGATGCTACAGGGAACAAAACGAGATCCTTGCCCTTCTGGAGCTGACATTCTAGTGAGGGAGTCAGGCGATACACGTAATGAATAAGTAAATTATACCTGTTGGAAGGGAATACATTTCACGGAGACAAACAGAGCCAGGGCGGTGGGGATTGGGAGAGGGAGATAGCCGTATGCACTCAGCGATCGCTGGGGGCTGGGTGCTGGGTGCTGGGTGTGAAAAAAGACGGAAAACTCCCATCCTTCGCGGGGTGGGGGAGATAGAAAACCAACAAGTAAATAACATAATTTCATGTGGTGCCAAGTATGATTTATTTCCTGTAAAAGAAGTAAAACTGGGTGAGGCAATGGAGAGTGCCATGGGGTCTCTTTAGCTGGGAAGGGCTCCCTGAGAGGCGAGAGGTGAGAAGGAGGGAGCCATGGAGAGGTTTGGGGGGACAGCATTCTCCGTGAAAGGAACTGCCAGTGGGAAGGCTCTGAGGTGGGAACTCACCTGGCATTTGAGGAGCAGAAAAGGGATCAGTGTGGACTGAACCAAAAGCTGAGGAGAGTAGGTGAAGCCCAGAGGGGCGGCAGGTGAGGCAAGATATACCCTCATCTCTCCAGCCTCCGGTCAGAGGCTAAAAATGCTCTCTGAATGTAAAACAGTCTCTGCTTCTCACATGGGACAGCCTCCTTCAAGGGGAATTTGGCAAAGTGCAGGATTGTAAATGTACTTTTTTTTTCCTGACCCAGTAGGAATTTCTTCTATAGATAGACTTGTGGAGGGAGTGAAGATACTAGTTTGCAGATAGTCACTGGAGTAGCAAAAGTCTGGAAATAACCTAAATACCTTTCCATAGGGAACTGGCCAAATAATTACAGAGCATCGCTCAAAAAATACCCTGTAGCATGGGGGGAAAAAAATCTATGTATCTATCCATACACAAATGTTACCTAAAGGTATGAAATGACCTCCAAAATCTGTTGAGTAAAAACAAGGGGGAGAATCAAGCTGAAGTGTGATACTGTTTGTGCAAAAACGAAAGCAAATATTAATTGTACGTGAAGAAAAGCTCTTGGATGGATTATCCAAAAGCTAGAATGACTCAGGTCTGGGGCCAAATCCAGGCTCTGTCTTTTTTTTTTTTTTTTTTTGCGGTACGCGGGCCTCTCACTGTTGTGGCCTCTCCCGTTGCGGAGCACAGGCTCCAGACATGCAGGCTCAGCGGCCGTGGCTCATGGGCCTAGCCGCTCCGCGGCATGTGGGATCTTCCCGGACTGGGGCACGAACCCGTATCCCCTGCATCGGCAGGCGGACTCTTAACCACTGCGCCACCAGGGAAGCCCCAGGCTCTGTCATTTTTGCTGTGTGAAAATAGCCAACACAATATTGAAGGAGCAAAACAAATTTGGTGTACTGACACTACCCGACTTCAAGACATACTATATAAAGCTGCAGTAATCAGGACAGTGTGGTGTTGACAAAAGAACAAATAGATCAATGGGACAGAATAGAGAGCCCAGAAATAGAACCATATAAATATAGTCAACTGATCTCAGACAAAGGAGTAAAGGCAATACAGTGGAGAAAAGGCAAATGGTGCTTTGCAACAAATGGTGCTGAAACAACTGGACATACACGTGCAAAAAATACATATATATATTGACACAGACCTTACACCTTTCACAGAAGTTAACTCAAGATGGATCATAGACCTAAAAGTAAAACACAAAACTATAAAACTCCTACAAGATAACCTAGGAGAAAATCTAGATTTTCTTGGGCATGGAGATGAGTTTTTAGATGTAATACTAAAGGCATGATCCATGAAAGAAAGAATTGATAAGCTAGACTTCATTAAAGTTAAAAACTTCCACTCTGTGAAAGATATTGTCAAGGGAATGAGAAGATAAGCCACAGACTGGGAGAAAATATATCTGATAAATGACTGTTATCCAAAATATACAAAGAACTCTTAAAGCCCAACAATAAGAAAGCAAATAACCTGATTTAAAAAGAGGGAAAAGACCTGAACAGACACCTCACCAAATGAAATATACAGATGCAAAATAAACGTGAAAAGATGCTCAACGTAATTTGTCATTAGAAAATTGCAAATTAAAACAACAGTGAGGTACTATTACATACCTAATAGAATGGCCAAAATCCAAAACACTGACAACACCAAATGCTGACGAAGATGTGGAGAAGCAGGAACTCTCTTTGATTGCTGGTGGGAATGCAAAACAGCACAGTTACTTTGGAAGACAGTTTGGCGGCTTCTTATGAAACTAAACATACTTCTACCATATGATCCAGCAATCATGCTCCTTCGTATTTACCCAAACGAGTTGAAAACTTATGGCCACACAAAAACCTGCATATAGATGTCTATAGCAGTTTTATTCATAATTGCCAAAACTTGGAAGCAACCAAGATGTCCTTCAGTAGGTGAATGGATAAAATGGTAATTCAGACAATGGAATATTACTCAGTGCTAAGACTAAATGAATTACCAAGCCATAAAAAAGACATGGAAGAAACATAAATGCATATTACTAAGGGAGAGAAGCCAATCGGAAAAGGTTACACACTGTATGATTCCAACTATATCATATTCTGGAAAAGATAAAACTATGCAGACGGTAAAAGGATCAGTGGTTGCCAGGGGTTAAGGGAGGATGGGGGGATGAACAGGCAGAGAGTAGAGGATTTTCAGGGCAGTGAAACTATTCTGTATGATACCGTAATGGTAGATATATGGCCCTAAACATTGTCAAAAACCATAGAATATACAACTCCAAGAGTGAACCCTAATGTGAACTATGCACTTTGGGTGATAATGATGCATCAATGTGACACTCGATTGTAACAAATGTACCATCTGGTGTGGGATGTTTGTAGTGGGGGAGGCTCTGTGTGGAATGGGGGCAGGGAGCACGTGATACATCTCTGTACTTTCCACTCCATTTTGCTATGAACCTAAAACTGTTCTAAAGAATAAAGTCTATTAATAAATTGGTTAAATGGCCAATTTTATGTTATCTATGTTTTAACCACAATAAAAATTGTTCATAGCAGCTTCATTCATGACATCACCAAACTGGAAACAATGCAAATGTCCATCAACTGTAGAATGACTCAGTGAATGGTGGAGTGGTCACCAGGTGGAATACTATGCAGCCACGAAAAGGGATGAGCCACTGCTATACATAATGACACAGATGAATCTTAAAAACATAACCCTGGGCTTCCCTGATGGCGCAGTGGTTAAGAATCCGCCTGCCAGTGCAGGGGACATGGGTTCGAGCCCTGGTCCGGGAAGATCCCATATGCCGCAGAGCCCGTGTGCCACAACTATTGAAGCCTGCGCGCATAGAGCCCGTGCTCCACAACAAGAGAAGCCACCGCAATGAGAAGCCTGCGCACATCAATGAAGAGTAGCCCCCATTCGCCGCAAATAGAGAAAGCCCACGTGCAGCAATGAAGACCCAACACAGCCAATAAATAAATTAATTTAAAAAAAGGAAAAAAAAATAAAAATAAATAAAAAAGGAGAAAATAATGCTGGGGGTTGGGGAGGATAAAGTAGGAGTTTGGGATTAGCAGATACAAACTACTATATATAAAAGAGATAAACAAGGGAACTAGATTCAATATCCTATAATAAACCATAAAGGAAAAAAGTATGAAAAAGCATACATACAAATGAAAAAGAATGTATATTATATATGTACGTATAGCTGAACACCAAAAGCTGATACATTGTAAATCAACTATACTTCAATTAAAAAAAAAAAAAAGAACGTAATGCTGAGTGAAAGAAGTGGTATACAAAATAATACATGATTTTATTTTTTATTATTATTTTTTTCATATGATTTTATTTGTATCAAATTCAAGAACAGGCAAGACTGATCTTTGCTCTTAGAAGTCAGAATAGTGTCTACCCTCGGGAGGTGGCTAGTGACTGATGGGGAGGGACATGGATGGGGGCTTCTGCAGGGCTGGGATGTTCTGTTTTGGGATCCGGGTGCTGTCTAGTTTGTGAAAATTCACCAAACTGTACACTTATGATTTGTGCCCATTTGTGCATGTGTGCTGTCAATTCAAAAGAATATGTATAGACACATGTATACATATATATACACGTACACACCATACATAGATACATATACATACATGTACACACACACACACACACACACACACACACACACACACACACATCACTCTGGAGTCCAAAGGATGGGTGTTCTAATTCTGGTCCTGCACTCACAAGGTTTATGACCCTAGACAGGCCCCTGTACTTCACTGAGCCTCGGTTTCCTCATCTGTAAAATAGGGATAATAGTACCTCACAAGGTCAACAAAAGGACGTCAGTGCTGGCAACGAGCATACTGATTCGGTGCTTACTACTACTATTCTGGCTGCTGTTCCCTTTGGTGACCAAGCCCAGGCTGGGGCAGGGTGGGGCTGGGACTCTGTTTCCAAGGAAGAGATGGGGCATGGGGAGGGCCAGTCTAAACTGAGGAGCAGGAAACGGTTATCTTGCAAAAACTACTGTGAAAGGAGAACACTAGCCAGGGAGCCGGGGTGTGCACGTGTGTGTGTTGCGGGGGAAGTTGCTGGGGTCCAGCCTGCGTGGTGGCTGCCTGGGGAGCTGGTCTCCCCTGGGCCTCCTGGGGAAGGAAGGCCCTTAGGAGTGGGATGAACGCAGAGCTGGGGAAATGGATCCTTTCCTGGAGAGCAGGGCCCTTCACTATCACTGGGCAATCAAGATGGCTGTAAAACTTTAATCACCTTCTCAGGCCACACAGCTCTGGGCTGGGGAGCTGGGTCCTTGAGGGGGGAAGCAGGTCCTCAACCGTCGTTCTCCTCCCTGGGGAAGCCTGGTAGCTTCAGGAGGCTTGGGCTAGGCCCCTGGATCTCCGCGGCCCAGTGACCTGGATTTCACACCTGAGGAGGGGAGGGGGCACTGAGAGACCTGGCTGCGCCTTTAGGAACAACCCAGCAGAGTCAGACTTGGGTTCCACTCCAGACTCCACCGTGTATGAGCTGTGTGACCTTGGTGGGTCATTCAAGCCATCTGAACCTTGTTTTCCACATCTGTAAAATGGGGATAGTTCCTACCGCATAGGGTTTGTTGTGAGGACTAAACAGCTTCCCTTTGCAAACAGAGTAAAATCCAAAATGTTCCCAGTGGCCTACTAAGCCCAATGATTTGGTCTCAATACCACCTGGCCTCCTTCCCTATGACTTGCCCTCTTGTATGCTTTTTGCTGTTCTCCAAGCATGCCAAGCTCAGCCCACTGCAGGGCCTTTGCCCCTTCAGTCTCCCTGTCTAGAACCCTTTCCTGCAGATCTTGCTGCAACAGTTAGAGCTCAGCTGAAATGTCACTCTTCAGGAGGCCTTCCCTGGCCACCGTGTCCGAAGCAGCCGCCTCCGGGCACTCACCATCTCACCAGCCTAGTGCCTTCCCAGCCCTTACAACTGAACAAGGATAACCTGATCTCATACTGGTCTCCTTGCTTGTTCCTGTCTCCCCCACTCGACTGAAAGCTTCAGAAGGCAGGGATCTTGTCTGTCACTCAAAACACACTTCCACACACTCACACGCACTCCTTCCACACTCCCAGACAGGAGGGTCTCGCTGCCCCTGCCCAGCCAGTGTGAAAACCAATCAGGCTGTTGTGCAGGCTCTGTCCAGAGAGCAGGGGCCCTCTTCCGGCCCCTCAAGGTGCTGGAGGGGAGACTTTGCTGGCTCGAGCCTTGGTGCCCCGAATGTGCTGATTGAGACAGCTGGGAGGATGGCCTGGCACTGCATCACAGGGCCTGGAGGTTTCCCATCTTCCTTCTGGGGTCCTGGGGCTTCAGCAGGAGCAAGGGGTGGGCCGTGGAGCCCTGAAGAAGACAGGAACAGGGGCTGTTGCCTGTGTGTGTGTGTGTGTGTATGTGTGACTGTGTGTGGGATGTGAGTGTGGGTGAGTACTTTTGTGAGGGTGTGCATGTGTGTGAGATATTGGGTGTATGAATAGGAGTGTGCGACTGTGACTGTATGTGGAATGTTGTGTGTGTTCAAGTGAGGGTGTGTGTTGATGGTATGTGTGAGGGTGTGAGCGCATGTGTGATTGTGTGTGAATGTGTGTTAGCATGTGTGAGCATGTAAGGCTGTGTTTGAGTGTGTGTGTGACTGTGGATGTGAGTGTG